TTTGTTGCCAGTTCAGTGGGTCCAGGTGGTTGAGTATCAGAGTGTTCCATCTCATTTCCCTTTGGGGTTGCTGTAGGTGATCTGGAAGTCTGCTTTTGAGACTTATTTATGTGTTTTCTCATTTCAACTGGGGGGTGGTGGTGGTGCTGTTGGCACCTGCATGGATTACCTCCTCTGAGCTGGGTGAGGTGGGACAGGGGCCGGGAGCAGCGGTAGGGATGGTGGCCCAAAAACCCTTTCCTCTGGTCTGGGAGCAGCGGGATGGATGGTGGCCAGGAAACCCCTTCCTCTCAACCAGGAGCAGTGGGACGGTGGCTCAGAAGCCCCTACCTCTGAGCTGGGAGTGGCAGGACTCAGTACCATGGTCTGGTGGTCCAGTATCCTCTGCATCTTTGTAGTGTGGAACCAGGTGGCTGTACAGAGGATCGGGGGTGGGGGGGGTGTCCAGTGGATTGTTGCCAGGGCGCGGGCTGATTCGGCATGTTCCACGCGACTCCCGACCTTGGTAGGGCATGCGCAGACCTGCCTGTCTGCAGTGGTCTCGGTCTTCCTATTTTTAAAAGACATTTTAATAAGAGTAAAGAAACAGAACCTAAAAGTGACTTGACATGAATGTTTACCTGCCACTTTTGAGTCAAACAATTATATGCTTTCATATCAAAAATTGCTCTATTCTGGTTGAATAAGAGACATCCCAAGATCTTTTTATAAGGAGATGTCTTCTGACTTTATTGAAATGTTGTAGGTTTATGGGACTGTCTTCCACATGAACCAGGGAAACCCATTCAAGCTTAAGGCCGTGGTGGACTCATGGCCAGATTTTAACACCATAATTGTTCATCCTCAGGAGCAGGTAAGTTGCCAGCTGTAGAATGAATATGCCACAGTGTTTGTGTATGTTGTGTTACTGCCTTGTGTGAGGCAACACAGTTTAACTCAGGGAAACAGAAATGACTCATAGTAGTGCCAACAAGTCCCTGTCTTCCAGAAGGTCAGCCTGGAAAAGAATCTAGAGTAATCCACAGATTCATTATATCACTGTGTAGAAGAGGCAGGAACAGAAATGCAGAAAAGATACATCTTCTTGTCTTTAGGACACAGCACCATACACTGACAACTTAAAGGAAGCCAGGTTTATTTTAGCTCTCATTTTCAGAGGATTCAGCCAACAGTTGCCTGCCTCCAAGGCAGAAACAGCATGGTGGAAGGTCACAGGGGAAGGAAGCTCCCCAACTCTTAGCAGGCAGGAAGCAGAGATAGAAAGAAAGAATCAGAGACAAGAATACACCCTTCTAGGTCAGCCCCCAGTGGCCCACGCTTCCAGCCAGGCCCAACTTCCTAACATCAGATTCAGCCTTGCACTCATCAGTGATAATCATAGCACTCCCATGATCCTATCTTTTTCCAAAAGTGGAGACTTTTGGGGGACATATTAGGTCTAAACCATAAAAATACCACAGAAAGTTAAAGTATGTGTTGAACACTTTCATACTTATACAGTATTTTACTTTGTTCACAAGATAGTCCCCCAACCAGCATCTGCTGATGCTGAAAAACAAACTTTGTTATTTCTTACATGCAGATCATGGGAATTAGAGCCAACAGTTGGAATGTTTTGCCAATTTAAGATCATGCTAATGACAGAGTCTGATCTTTTGCTAGAAACATTGAAAGACCGTGATCTAGGCTGCACTTCTGTATTGTAACAAATCAGATCCAAGTTCCATTTCCAACTATCAGTCTGAAGGAAAAAAGTACTTCTGGTCTTGAAGAACACTGGCCTTGACATAATGTTGACTGTTATACTAGAGCACTCTCACTGAGACATTGATCTGACTGCACTGTAACAAACCGTCTACAGTGGAGTTAGTAAATCAGGGAAGACCAGCTCTGTGTGGTGGGTATTTCCAGTAAAAGATCAGATTTGCTTCTTAGTAGAAATTTAGTTAAAACTGGATGTTAAAAATAGGAGTTTTTAATGTGGCAAGATAAGAAAATTGCTATTTTGATACTTAGCATCATTGCTGAGGAGAAAGTGTATTTTTAAATTTTCTTGATATTGAAGGAAAGAAACCTCTCTGATGCTAAGAGGTAGTAGGTAATTTTTTGCTTATTTGTTCCTTCATATTGAAATAATCTCAATCTATGTTTAACATACTTGCTAGATGTATTTGAATATACATATATATGTGTATGTTTGATGTTACTGTAGTTCATTTAAAAATGCTAAGCCCTTTTTTCTAAAGAAAGTTCTAGTTCATTAACTTTCTGTTAACTTCCACCTTCCATAGGTGATATTCTAATTCTGTAACCCCTATAGGACATACTCATAGTCCAGTGCCAGTCTTACTCTTTTGACTCATTATTTTGCTCTTCAATTGTTATTTTGAGTCTTTCACTTCAGATTCCTGGAGGTATCAAAAATGATTTTAATTGGATTATTTTGAAATTCCAAATCATTCTCTGAGGTAGCAAGGGTTATGTTCAAGAATTTTTTCACCTTTAACTGAATATGGGGCCTGGACTAAACCATACAATGCAAGTAATTCCTAAGAAAGGGGAAAAAGCAACAGAAAATACTAATTTAACCTGCAAAATAGAACAGAATACTGAATACCAGAGCAGCGATCACCAATTGCAGACACTGTGGTTGATTCCTCTTTGCTCAAACAGGAAATGACTGATGACCTCGATCACTACACCAACACTTACCTCATCTACTCCAAGGATCCTGAGCAAAGCCAGGAATTCCTTGGTTCCCCAGCAATCATCAACTGGAAACAGCACTTGCAGATTCAAAGTAAGAGGCCTGGAGTGTGTCCCACATGCTGAGCTCTGTGTATGTTGGTGGGTTTGATTTTCATCTCGAATAAGCATGTTAAACTCACATGCCTTTCTTCCAAGGTATAAAATCGGCTATCCGTTCATTCCTAGTGTCAGCAGCTACTATTACATAGTGAAAATGAGATGGCAGCTGTGTGTATGGTTGTATACTGAACTGTAATTTGATTTGTTAGTAGCTGAGGACTCCTGATGTATTCGCTGGTGTGCCCTGTATCTAGCAAAGGAGAAGTTGGTGAGGAGAAAAGCTTTCCCCGTATATCACCGCTGTTTTATTACTGTCAATTCACAAAGGAATATTTTAGACAGTAAGAATAAGCTTTCTGGAGTCAGACTACTTAAAATTGCTGGACCTCTTATTAACTGTGTGATCTAGGCCAAGTAACAACCTCTCTGTGAGTAAGTTTTCTTATGTGTAAAATGATAATAAGAGCATCCAAAATATAAAGTCCTTGATGATTGAGTGAGATTTTGACTGGGAAATGCATAGCTATATTCTCATTTTATCAGATCTTCAACATCTCAAAGTAGCTATTTAAACCACACTCCATTATCATCTCCCAATTCTGGGAATCAGCAGTTTGGACCAGGCTCAGCTGAATGGCTCTTCTGCTGGTCCCGGAAAGCTTCAGCTGTGTGGACAAGGCCAGCTGAAGGATTGTGTGTGAGCTGGTAGTAATGGCCGTAAGCCTGGCTCTGGATAGTAACTTTGCTTCTGCAGCTATGACTGGAGTGATGGAGTGAAGTGGACATGTCAACCACAGAGTCCTCAGGAACAGAAAAATAGGCAAGCTGCAGCACATTTTTAGTCTTTGACTGAATCACATTTGTTATTGTTGCACTGGCCAAGGCCACTTACCTGTCTGAGCCCAGAATCAGTTCAAGAGAGAAAATCAAATTAGCAAAATAGTAATAATCTAGGGACATGATAGCAAAGGTCTATAACACTATCTGCATAAAATTTGTTAAAAAAATTTTGTCCTTATATCTGTATCTCATCTCCTTTGATAGGCATAACTGTCGTATAGTATATTTACGTCCTGTTGAATGATCTCAATTTGAAATTTTTTTAGTGTGGGAGTAATATAGCCATTATTACTTAAAACCTGTGTGATGACTGATCACAAAATATGTGGGTGCCTGTTAATGGGAATGTGCCAGCCTTAGTGGACAGAGAAATGAGGAGGGGCTCCCTGAAGCGCAGCTCTTGGTGAGCCTGGGTGGGACATGGCGGCCTGATGTGGGTGCTGCTCATGGCCTCTGGCCCTTCATCTCTGGGGCTATACCCGCTCCACTTCCTGCACTGACCTAAACATCGTTACTCAGCCACACCTTCCCACTGTGATGTTTCTGCCCGTGAGCCTCCAAGTCATGGGCTGAATTCCCTGTAACCGGGAATCCAACTGAACCTCTCCTCCAAGATGAAGGTGTCAGGTATTGTGTCCCACTTCCAGGAAATCTGACTGATACACTGTATGGTGACTCTATATCCAAGTATTTCCCAACACCATTGGGCAACAAGTCCCAAGAGTTAATATCAATGATGATGTCTCATATGTTTCTTTCTCCCAATTAGGTTCACAGTCCAGCCTGAACAGAGTAATACAAAATCTTGTAGACATCAATTTAAGCAAGGTGACGCACACACAATGCAATCTCTACATGATGTTTGATACAGCAAAGAGACTGGTTCCTTCTCTGGTGGACATAAAGAATTTACCACCCAATGGAGACAAACCCAAGTCCCTGTAAGTTTGATAGAATGTACTGGATGACATATATATCTGTCACAGCTGAAATTACCTCATATTAGTTTTTAAAGGCTTTCACAAAATATTACTTAAAGCAACAGAAATTCTTTACAGTTTTTAGAATCTAGAAATTCAAAATTAAAATGTTGACAGGGTCATGCTCCTTCTGAAGCAGGAAAAGGCTTAAAATTTAGCTTACTTCTGCCTAAAATATATGTCCTAGAACCCTACTTAATGTTTTTGTTACTCAGGAATGTTGAAACATTTCCTCTCCAGAGTCCTGGGTAAATTATCCCCTCTAAAGTCAGTTCACAATTATTCTCCACATATGACCAAGCTTTGTTTGCTTCATTGCATGTGTCATTATTTGAAATTAGCTAATATATTTAACTCACTTATTTGATGTTTGAATCTTCTTAGAAGCAGTATGGAAACACTACATGAGCAAGAACACACCTGTTCACTACTAGACCCAAAGAACTAACACAGTGCCCAACACACATGATATCAATAAACGTGTGTGATGAATTCACTTCACAAAAGGGTCCCAATGAAATGAACTTGAACAAATCACATATATTCCCAAACTGACCTCTGTCTAATTCTGCATGGAATGTAGTGCTATAGCAGGCCTGAAATGCAGAGGCTCAGTCCTGTGGCCTCCTGTGCTGACAGGCCCGGAAGGGCTCACTCCCACTGTCAGGTGCACTACAACACGGCAGGCACCTTTATGTCTAGAATCCCATTAGGCCCTTCTGTTCACCCCCATGAGATGGAAAGGGCAGGAAGTACCATCCACAGTTTCCTGATAAAAAGCTGTCAAGGTGAGTGCTCCCTCCAGAGTCTGTGGAGCCTTGAAATGAACACTCCCCGGCCATCTAAAATGTCCCTCTCTCAGCCCTACATTATGCAAGTGAAAGACAGATGGTAGGAAATAAGGAGGTAGACTCTGTGGAGATGGGAGAGTTACACCGGAAATGGGAGGGAAGGGAAGGCAAAGCAGAGGAAGAGGAAGTAAAAATGGCCAAGATGAGATATGTATACTTCCCACTTCCCCAAGGTGAATGCGGTTGTTATAAATCACAAACGTATACCGATGATAAAAATGTCTATACAAATGAGTGCTTTTGTGATTGTAGACTGCTGAAATGTAACCTCAACAGGGTCCTGGCAAATCACCCCACCTAGAGTCACTTCCCTGTTACTCCCCATGTATGATCAAGTTTGGTTTTCTTCATTGCATTTATGATTATTTGAAATTAGCTACTTTATTTAACTTACGTATTTTGTGTTTGAATCCTACTGGCAACAACCTTAGGCACTCCAGTGCTGTTCTGAGTACCTGTACCCTGGACCCATGGAGGCCCCTCAGGGATTCCCCCAGGGAGCTGTGCTCCTCATCTCTAGTCACTCCATGAGGAAATGGAGAGGAGAGGTTAACTAATCGGTCCGGTCACACAAGCAGGGCTGACACAAACCCTGGCACCCAGGCTTTGGAGCACACATCCTTCCACATGCTCCCATTCGCCTCCAGGACAATGTGAAGGAAAACACTTCGCGTGGACAGGATATGAAGGGCTGTTGTTTCCCTTTGTTCCTAACAGCAACCAAGAGATGTTCAAATTCTCATCCCTGGATGTTACCCACACTGCTCTGGTGAACCAATTCTGGCACTTTGGTGGCACTGAGAGAAGCCAGAGATTCATCGAGCGCTGCATCCGCACTTTCCCCAGCATCTGTCTGCTGGGGCCTGAGGGGACACCAGTGACCTGGAGCCTGATGGACCACACTGGAGAGCTGCGAATGGGAGCTACTGTGCCTGAGTACCGGGGCCAGGGTCTCATGTATCATATGGCCTTTTACCAGCTCCAGGCTCTGGAAAAACTAGGCCTCCCTCTCTATGCCCATACTGATAAGGCCAACCACATTATGCAGAGAGTGATGGCCAAGCTGCGCCACGTCCCCATGCCCTGTGACTGGAACCAGTGGAACTGTGTGCCACTGTAAAGATGGCCCTAAACATAGGTCACTGAGTAGTGTGCAGGTGGCTGGCGAAGGGCGTGTGCAATCCCTCAGCTTGGAGTGGACCCTGAGCTCGGGGATGGAGGGATGTGTGCTAAATGTTCCAGCCCTCAAATCAATCACAAGGCAGCCCTCGCTTCCTCAGTGTGGAGTGGGCCCAGCACTCCTGCTTCCAGGCTGACACAGCTGCTCATTTCTGGGACCTTTGATGTGTGTTAATCCACTTCCTGCTTTCTCCTTTGCTCTTACCTCATTCAGTCTTGCCTATTTGCTGGGACATGGATTCTTAGGATTTTCCCCTCTGGGCTTCTGTGGCTTTTCTTTTATTGTCTGGAGAGGTCTCTCTTCTCAATAGGTCTTTTTAAATCCTTTGTCAGGTCACTTCCTAGACCTTGTATGATAACCATGTGAAACAAATTTCACACATATATACACATAAATAATATATGTGGTGTAATTCTAGGAATTATTAAGAAAGAGAAGAACTGGTAGTATTTTTGCAAATAGCATCAATATCTTTTGCAATGAATTATGTTTTGCTATTAATGGCCCAAAAAAGAGAATTCAGCACTGCTTCTTCAGGATGAGCTCCACTGATCCCCTCCTGGATCCCTTGATGACACTGGGCCTTCTCTGCTTGTGGAAGCTTAATCTATACGTTCCATAGTGGGATATGAATGTAAGGAGAAGAGGACGCAAGAACACTCGACCTAGGAAGGTGGATGTTGATGATCAAGGATGGGGTTGTGGGAGGCTTTGTGCAGGGCTAGAGACCAGGTGGCACCTGGTAGGCGCACACGCTGTGAGATGCCTGCAACCTCTGTGTGCAGGTGAAAATCATGTGGGTCTAGATGATAAAGAAGACCATAGGAGGGCTCCGTCCCGAGGCTTCCGTGGAAGACAGCCCCAGTAGTGCTAGAGGAATAGCAGGTGCTTGAAGAAGGAAGAAAGGAAAGGGAATGTCATCAAGATCAGTCTTGAGACCATCACAGCCCAGGTCCTAACTAAGAAGAAAGAAGGTGAGCTTCCGGTACTTGAACACCAAGTAACATATCATCTGCAGACATGCGCTGATGTCAGAAATAGATGATGAGCTTTAATACAGATGTAGGGAGAGGTGAACCTCCTCATCCACACACACACACACACACACACACACACACACACACACACACAGAGTGCCTGATCCAATTACAGAGGCATAAACTCAGTATTTAGTAGGAAAATGTTGGTTTTGTTTTATCAAATAAAGTCACCTGAAAACAGTGCTAATAATATGCACTTAAAGCCTCCTACGATCATCCGCCTGTTCTTCCTTCCAAAGCCAAAAAGCCTGAGGTTGATTATTCTTGCCTTTGAGTCATTATTCAGATTTTGTTTTTTCAAGATTTCATTCGGAATTTGTGGGAGAGGATAGACTTTACTTTTTCCTCTAAGTGCAAGCTGCCACAAGATGATGAAACTATGGGGTTTCCTCTTGCTCTTTTAAGTTGACTTAATTTTATTTTTAAAAAAATTATTAGCACAGCCAGCCTGCCCGCGCGCCGCCGTGCTGACTCCTCGCAGCGCTGGCCTCTCGGACTCTCACGCCCGGCCCCAGATGGCAGCGGCGGCGGGCGACTCCGACTCCGGGACGCAGACACGTTCTCCGCGGAAGACCCGGTGCGGAAGGTGGCGGGCAGCGGTACCACCGGTGGGGACCGCTGGGAAGGCGAGGACGAAGACAAGGACGTTAAGGATAACTGGGATGATGATGAAGACGACAAAAAAGGGGAAGCAGAAGTAAAACCAGAAATAAAAATTTCAGAAAAGAAAAAAATAGAGAAGATAAAAGAGAAAGAACAGCAACAGAAGAAAAGGCAAGAAGAAATTAAGAGGTTAGAAGAACCTGAAGAGCCTAAGGTGCTGACACTGGAAGAACAATTAGCAGATAAACTGCGGCTAAAGAAATTACAGGAAGAGTCAGACCTTGAATTAGCAAAAGAAACTTTTGGTGTCAATAATACAGTCTATGGAATTGATGCTGTGAATCCATCTTCAAGAGATGATTTCACAGAGTTTGGAAAATTACTAAAAGATAAAATTACACAATAGGAAAAGTCACTGTATTATGCCAGTTTTTTGGAAGCCTTAGTTTGAGATGTATTTCATTGGAAATTGATGACGCGAAAAAGGTTACCAATTCATTGACCGTGCTTTGGAGTGAAAAACAGAAGCAAGCAAAGCAAAGCCAAAAAGAAGAAGAAAGGTGTGGTTCCTGGAGGGGGATTAAAGGCCACCATGAAAGACGATCTGGCAGATTATGGTGGTGATGATGGAGGATATGTACAAGACTATGAAGACTTCATGTGACACTTTACCTTCTGGTGTCTTCTTTCTGTTGCCCACAATCCCTTCAACATGTAGCACAACTTCCTTTCCTTTCAGTTCTGCCAAATGCTACAATCAGAAGTGCAGTATCTTTTGTGCTGGTTACTCAACCCCTTGACACTTAGGTAATAATGTGCAAATGAGGGAACTTGGATCTTGCTGCCAAGGGGTTAAAATCAGGAACCTCAATTGCTACTAAATCATAGTTTAAAAACAGATCTAATAATGTTGTCATTGTTGCTATATGATTCCATAGCAGCATTCACTAAATTGGAAACAAAGGTTGCAACAGGACAAAAAATTGCGTAGTATTTACCAGCACCATTCAGTAATACAGTCTTAACCATACCTCCTTGAGCTACTTCATACTTGTCAAGAAAAGCAGTTTGCAGCAAGGGCACGTGGTGTGCACCTAATATTAAAATTGCTTTGTCTTAAAATTGAGCATGAGGATATTAAAAATCCATTGTGAAGAAGACTGCTTATCTCAGAGTGAAGATACTTAAAAATTAAATGAACAAAACCCTCCAACTTTGAAGCTGAAGAAGGTAAACCTCTCCATTACTGCAGTACAATAATTACTGTGGAATCTGCTGAGTGCATAGACCATCTAGTTTTTAATTTATTAGACTATTTCTACTGATGGCGTGCTTCAGGATGGGGGAGGGAAACTACCTGATTCAAGTGTCTGAGAAACAAATCTCTTTTGTTCTTCTAGGCTGCAGTGGAACAACTTTAAGAGGGTTGTGGCATTTCCTTTCCTTTATAAAACATGCTCAGCAAACTGCACCAGTTAACTACAGTTTGGTAAATTGTTATGTTCACGATTATGACATCCGCAATGTTTTATAAAGTAACTAATTTAATAAAATTACTATTGTGAGGACTTACATTTTGTGTTACATCCCAAGAGATATTTTTGGAGAGCACAAAACACAGCTCTTGGGACCAAAATTATCTATATACTTAAGCTTAATCAATGCTTGGTGTAGTTACAGCTTTAAAACAAGGATGGTGTGCTAGGTTGTTAACAGTGTCACCACAGAGCAACAAATCTATAAGGCTATTTATTTGGGAAATTATTTTGTTGTTTAGATACTAAGGCCTAACTAAGTACTATAAGAACTATTTATTTGGAGTAATGGAGCCTACAACTCAGGTTATGGTTACAAGAATCAACTGGGATCTTTATCTTGTCCTAAGTGATTTAACAAGATCTGTGGGTTTGGGGCCGGGGATGTAGCTCAGTGGTTCTGCTGCCTGCCTTGCAAGCACAAGGACCTGAGTTTGATCCTCGGTACCAAAAAAAAAAAATTGTGGGTTCACCTTTTTTTGTGCCAATTATCACAACCAGAGCAAAAATAAATTTATTTCCATAGGAAATAGGATCCTCGGCTCTAGACTGAGGTGTAAAACAGGGCAACTTAAATGAGTTGGTGAATTAATAGAAAGCCTGACTGCACAGCAGTAATCATATCAAATACTGTTTGAAGGCAGACGAGGGCTCAGATTTCCTCAGCAGTAATGACACACACAGAATTTAAACTCTATTTTATTATAGAAAGATCAGTTTCTAACAAATGAAAATTTATCACCTGTTCCTTAACTGTGTAAATAATATTAAATTTCTTTGAAACTGGAAAAAAATTATTAGCACATGAATTGTGCAAAATAATGCCTTTCATTATGCCAGTTTCATGCAGGTATTTAAGGTACGTTGATCATGTCCTCCCCTTACGCGCAGTTATTTTGTCTCCCCCCTTCCCTGTCTTTCCCTCTTCCCTAATATTTTCCCCTTCTACTCTCACATCTTCCATGTCCCCCCACTCAACACAGGTGAGGACACACATGATACTTGTCTTTCCGACTCTGGCTCATTTTGCTTAACATGATGATCTCCAGTTCCACTCATTATCTGGCAAACTACCTGATTTTCATTTCTTTTTGGTTGAGTAATCCTCTATTATGCATACACCACACACTCTGCACCTATTCCTCCACTGAGAGGTACCAAGGACCAAGCTGACTGTAAATACAGGCTCTTGTAAACTGTCCCACAATAAACATGCACATGCAAGTATCTGTACAGTAGCTTGATTTTCCTTTCTTCAAGTACATACAAAGCAGCAGTAGAATGGATCACCTTCCAGTTCTATTTTTAGTTTTTGATCGGCCTCCATATACTTTCCTACAGTGGCTGTACTCGTCTCTGCTCCCACCAACAGTGTACAATGGCTCTGTTTTCTCCACATCCTCACCAGCACTTGCTATTTTTTGTTTTCATAGTAATGGCCATTCTAACCGAGTGACATGGAATCTTAATTCAGGTTTGTTTTGCATCTATTTCCCTGATGGTTAAACAAAGTGAGAGTTTTTCATACATTTATCAGGCATTTGTGCTCCTCCTTTTGCAAACAGTCTTTTCAGCTGAGTTGTTCATTTACTAATTTGATCATTCTTTTGGGTTTTTTAAGTTCTTTATATACTCTGGATACTCATCTTGTGTAAAATAGCTCACAAAGATTTTCTCCCATTAATTTTTTAAAAATTTACTTTGATAGGAATTTTTTATTCTATTTCCAAGTCAGTGTTGGGTCTGAAATTTATAACATTTTTAGAAACCTATAAATTATGGATATACTTATAAACTTAGTATATGAAATACATTAAAGGTATGTGTATTTAAAATCTTTAAAAGATTCAAATTCACTAACCAATATAATCATTTTTAACAAAACTTAAAAGTCTAGGAATTAAGCTTGCACACAATAAAATCAGTGAACTGGAAGTTGTAGTAAATCTGTTAATCTTTAACAAAAATATAGCAATGATCCAACTTAAATTTAGAACTCTAAACCAACTTACCCTATTATATATTTCTAATTAAACTGAAAAGATTCTCATGCTAATAGGTAAAATTCTACCACATTTTATAAGAATGTAAATTACTATCATTTGTGCTAAAATTCCTTTTTCAGTTAAACTATTAGTACTCTAGATAGGAGTCTTTAAACACTGGTGTATAGAGAGACTAGTATTGGTGTTTTAAAGAACAGAGAGATCATGCTCATGAAGCAAAGTCATCATCTTGAATTACTGAAGTTATTGACACCACATAGAGAGGAGAATGACAAGATTGGTGTTTGTAGTTGCCTTGGTCTGTTTTTCGTTACTGTCACGAAGTATCTGAGGCTGGATAACATTATGAAGAGTAGAGAATTATTTATCTCACAGTTCTAGAGGCCCAAAGATAGAGCAAAGGCATCAACCAAGTTTGGGTTAGGACCTCGTCATAAATGGTACATTTAAGAGTGTGCGTGCAGGGAAGGGAATATGTCTTGTGATGGGCAACCAGAGGGAGAGACAAAGATCAGGCTTGCTCTTAACACAGCTGCTCTGGAGGGAACCATTTCAATTCCTCGAGAGGGTAATACTCCCAATATCCTAAGGGTTCCCCATTACTTCCCACCTCTTGAAGGTTTATACCATTTCCCTACATCACCACTCTATGGACTAATCCTCCAACACACCAGCCTTGGGAGCAAGCAACATCCAGAACATGGCATTCTGCCTCTAGCCTCCAAGGTTCAAGTCCATCTTACAGTGCAAAATGCATTCACTCTATTCCCAATAATCCCGAAGCTTCTCTGAATGAGTCCAGAATCTCATCCGAGATTCAAGGCTAATCCTTTAAGCATGGAGCCTCTGTAAAATGAAACACACACACACACACACACACACACACACACACACAGATTAAATGCTTCCAAGATACAATGGTGGGACAGAAACAGAGTTCATATTCCTACTCTAGAAGGGAGAAAAAGGCAAATAGGAAGGTGTGAGTAGCCCAAAGCAAGACCAAAACCCAGCAAGCAAGAACTTAAATTCTAAGGCTTTAAGTTTGCATGGTGGCAAACTGTGGTAAAAATGGACCCACAAGGTCTTGGGCCACATCGATACTACAGCTTGGCTGCTACAGCCACATGGTTATTCTCTCAGGCAGGTTTTTCAGGCTGCCTGCAGCTCTCCCTGCTGGGTGTTGTACATTGTGATACCTGTATCTTTCTTAAGTTCCCACTACAGCTCCAGGAGGCATCACCCCACTGGAGGCATCTCTACTTTGGGGTAACTTCTGCCTGCCCACAGGACTTTCTTCTCAAATCTCAGTGGAAGCTGCTTAGACACCATATTTCTTGCATTATGTACACTTGCAAAACAAGCATCCTGGAGAGGTCCAGGCACACAACTGGCATGAGGTACATCTGAGTCCATATGAACCAGGGCTGAAAGCAGAGAAAAAATATTGAGTCCAAGCAGACAGCCATGAGCTCAGTTCCTGAAACTATTCTGCTCTGGAGAGGCTAGGGACAATTGATGGATGGGGTCTCCTGAAAATTTCTGAGATGCCCTTAAGTCCTTTTTCCAGTTGTTCTGATTGTTAGCATTCCTTCCAGTCTCTTTACCAGAAAGTTACTTGGTCAAGCCCTTCTCTTTCAAATAAGCATTTTTCCAGGTGGTTAATTTTCCACTGAATGTTGATGGTCCATGAAGTTACCATCTTGAAATTAATGGTGAAACTGCACACTTTTCAAATCATTCAGCTCTGCTGTTTGCTCCTGATTCTCACTATAGATCTAGCTAAAGGCAGCCAGCAGAATCCCTGCCACACCCTGAATGTTGGGCTGCCTTGAAATTTCCTTCACCAGACTAATTAGTCTACTCCCTTTCCCCATTAATGCCTAGTGCACCATTATGGGAATGCTAACACATGGAAATTACTCACATCCTATTGCTCAAGGTCATCACCAAGGTTTGATTTTTCACACATGCCCTTCTCCTGAGAGTAAGTGCCATCATGTTTTGCACAGACACTGCCATGCTGGGAGCTTGTCAAAAAGTGATGTGAGTTTTTGGCAGCAGTTTTGAGGCAGTATCCAAAGACAAGTGTATAGAACTTAACTGCACTATATCCTAAACTAGTAATTTTTTATTACTTCTCTACTAGTGATTTTTGGTGCTGTAAAAACAAAATATGGAATTTATTGTTATATTAGTTATGGGTTTGACAATTTTCATGTTCTAGTTTTGAAAAACTAGCCAAAAACATTACCACTAGGACCAATAAAATTCCAATTTATTTCTGGAAGTAAGGGTGCACATCTTGGCTTTGAATTCAAATGTATCTGGGAATTATTTTTCTGAGTGGTTACACCTCAGTTCCTAGAAGGTGTACATTTTGGGAACAAGGAACAGATGAATGTAGTATCTTTGTTAGTGCTGCTATGAGGCGTGACCACTAAGAGAGTATATTTTCTAATTTGTGTGTTGCTGATTGTGCAAATTTGGATATAATGGATAAGTTTTCCAAGTTGCAACCTCTCAAAAGCAAATTCAATGAAAGATGTATAACATTTGTTCCAAATGAAACATATTTCAGTTTTGATGGATCCATGGTTCCTTATCTTTGACATCACGGGTACAAACAATTTATTTGGGGAAAATTTGGCTGTGAGTTTTAGTGTTGTGTCACAGGCCTGGGCTACACGTGCTAAATTCAGCCATGTCAACACTAAACATGAGGAATAGGGCATTGGTGCATCTCTTGTCCTTCGACTCATTGAGGCACTTATATCCTGGACAATACCATTTTGTATTCAATAACTTTTTCACCAGTATTGCTCTTCTTGATAAGCTCAGTTCAATGGGATTTCAGGCAACAGGTACAGTGATAAAGGCTCACAGTGACAAAGTGGCATTGGAATCAGATGCAGGTTGAGAGAAGAAAGAGGCACATTCAACTATCAAACTGATGGCAAAGGCAATGTTGTCTGCAGATGAAATGATAACAGTGTTGTCCCTGTTGCCTCTTCTAGTGCTGGTATTGATCCCTGGTCGATCGGTGTTCCCAGAAAATGAAAAAGAAGATCCAAGTTCAGCAGCCAATCACAATCAAAGTATATAATCAGTTCATAGGAGGCATAGACAGATGTAATGAAAACACAGATAAGTATTGGGCATCAATCCATGGAAAGAAATGGTAGTCCACCCCTCTCTTGTTCTGTTTTGAATTGGCCTCCCAAAATGCTTCGCAATTGCATGAACTACGATGAAAGGCCAATAGATTTTCTGGAGTTTCATTGATGTGTGGTTTGCTATGATCTGGAGACCCAAGGTCATCACACAGAACATGGCTGAAGATGAAGACCTGTACAGAAGTGTAACATTGACTCCTGTCATGATGTTATAAATTGTGTACTAGTGAAACAGGGGAAGCAAACACAGTGTGCACAGTGTCATAAGAATGGCATTTTTAGATGTAAAAATGTGAAGTGTTCTGTTGAATGCCACACCGAATAGCAAGTGTCACCACCACCTCTTGAGACAAGAAATGTGGTTTATGCATTATGTACAATGTAGCAGTGGTTTTGCCTAATGTTCCATTTGGGGAACTCTGCATAACTCAAAAATGGAACAAAATGAAATTTTTCTCTTCAGATTCCTCCAAGTTTTTCTAAGTAACATATATGAATTTCATGTGAAAATTAAAAAAACATCGCAAGCTTCAGCATTGATGAGTTTCAGTCTCCAGCAAAGCCTAGGGATATCGGTGAAATGAAGACAAATATTCTGCATAGCATGTATGGACGTTAGTCCAGCCTTCAGTGGAGTCCTTGAAACCTCCTGAGTCTAGCCTTACAGACCACATTCCTAGTACCTATTCTGGCCTTCTGAGCTCTGACTAGGGTTGCACATCAAGCACTGCTCACAACATTGTAGGTCACCCTCAGCTGGCATCTCTAAAACTTTACAACCTCCTGGAAATAAGTTCCAAAGACTTCTAAATCACAGGGCCAGGTACAGTCATACACCAACCCCGTCTTGGTACCAATTGTCTGTCTTAGTCCCATTCTTGTCACTGGGACAAAATATTTGACACTTGGAGTTTAAAGGGGGAGAGGTTTATTCTGGCTCATAGTCTCAGTGAATTCACTCCGAGGTCTGCTGGCTCCGAAGCAGAAATGTCATGGCAGGACAGTGTGGTGGAGAAAAGGTACTCCTGCCTCGGCAGCCAGAAAGCAGAGAGGGAAGGGAGGCCCAGGGGACAAGAATGCGCCCTTCCAGACCACACACCCTGGGAGCTGTGCATCATGACCAGGGCCCATCTCCCGGCATGAGCTGTGGGGGACATTTGAGACCTAAACCATAAGAGAAGCTGGTACTTCTTAAGTAAAAAGTATTTGCCTTGCTGTCTTGTCAGGCATATTCATGTAGGAAGCTTACCCTACGTAAGGGTAATTTTTGGTTTTGCCTCCTTTAAAAAACATTAACATATTTTTTCTATTCTAGGTATTCATCCATTCCACAAATGTTAACCCATTAACAAAAATTTTAAAACTTAGTGTCAGTGTAAAATAACAACTTTGTTCCAGGTATGGTGGTGCATGCCTATAACCCCAGCACTTGGGAGGCTGAGGCAGAAAGATCACCATGAGTTTGAAGCCAGCCTAGGCTACATAGAAAGTTCAAGGCCAGCCTGAACTACATAATGAGACCTTGTCTCAAAACAAACAAACAAAAGATAACAATTTGCTTTAAAAATAAGAAATTGCTTATTTTGAGCCAAAGAGATTGATTATGGTCTGAGAGTACACCCAATTTACCCTGAATGATTGGTTCCACAGGGGAAGAAATTATGTGAACTTTTATGGCAAAAGAGTAATGAAAGACATAAATCAATACTTTCGACAGATGCACTGGTGTGGGCGAGGTAGGCAGACTGCAGCCAAGAGGGTCAATCTCCGAGTTTGAGACATTATCTTACTGCATTCACAGATTGAGGGTTTTTTGAGACTAGGGCCCTGCTAAGTTTAACAATATGTACTGCAAGATATACCTAGTAATCATGATAATTTCAGTTCCCACTCAAAGGTTAAAATAAATGGCTATGTTTTGATAGAGCCCAAGGCAGTAATGGCTCTGGGCACTGCATTCCATCTCTCCAGACTCCCAACATTCAACCACTTAGCAGAGAAGCAAGAGCCTGCAACATCTCTGCTATCAATGCTGAGTCTTTAGAAAACTTCAGCTTCACTCCAACTACGGGTGAGTAATTATGGTGCAGCAGATATCAGTCCTCACCTTGAGACAGAAATGGGCACACAGCAGTCGGGTGCACTGGGGCCTGATCCTAATGCTGAGAATTCCAATGCAGACCTGATATTTCGAGCTTGGGGGACTCTGCTGAGTCTCTGTTTATACCACTGTTGGGCCTCAGAGTATGACAATAGCTTTTCTGAGAATGAGGACTCTTACTCAGAGAAGTAAAAGCTTCTTTCAGGACACCTGTACCTGTTTGTGTCTGAAGCCACAAGGTGATACTTTCATTATCTTATTTGTAATAGGAACAAGAATAATCACAGAATGAAAGCACCTTAGAGAAGACTCTTAAAGGCTGAGATATTGTGTAAGATAACTATTCTACTTCACAAACAAGGAACCCCTCTGATGAAGCTCAGGACATGCCCACACAAAAGGGAAGGGACACCTGAGCCTAGACCCTCGAACTGCGAGCTCCTTGGAGTGCCTCTGTTTAGGGCTGAGTGTGTAGGGTGGGCAGGAGCCGTGTTCAGGGTCTCCAGGATCGGGGAAATGAAGAGACCTCGGCTGGTGGTAAAGCATCAGCACCTTGTGTGGCAGAAGCTCTACCAAAGCAGGGACAATCACAATCCTCTTCTTACAAAGAGAGTAGTGGTCCATCCCTGTCAAAGACTAAACCATGGGAGGTAAATAGAGGTCATGTTATTCAGTGACAGTAGACAGGTGGTTTTTAAAGTCATGTGGTAAATATTTCAAACTTGAAGATGAAACTATCTCTGTGAGAAGCAGAGCCAATATTAAATAAGTGGAGCAGCTGTGTTCTAATTTACTTTTATTTATAGAAATGTGCTGACTTAACTGGCCATATGTTGGTACTGTAAAGAAAACCCTAAGAACAATTTGCTTGTCCATCATACACAAGCACAGTTGAGCTGCTTGGGTCACTGTCCTTCTAATTAAATCTTTTTCATCCACAATGAGATTATTAATTAAAATAGAAAACACAAAAGAACCGACACATTCAAATTTCAGGACGGTGTCAAATTTCCACTCTTGATTATTTCACACAATAGAGCTTGGACTAAAAATACTTCTATTAACTTATCCACTCCAGATTTTTTAGAAGTGCATTCGTTTTTGAACATCATAGAGCAACTGTGGGTGTGAGGGGTGCTTTAAGTGACAGGTTCTGAGATAAAATACTGTCCACCACTAGTGGCTTCTTTCTGTGACCACCAGGGTTCAAACTCTCAGAGCTGCCATTTCCTTGGCTTTCAAGACTGTTACTGATAAATGCCTAGGGTGAATCACTGTTCTCAAATTTAATCGAAGCACACAAAGGCAAGAGAGAACACACAGTTTTTAGAAAAGTGAGGGAAAACTTCAGGTCCTCCTTGTAGCAAGTTCTGTACTCTATGTGTACAAGGAAACAGCTCTGGTTTTAAAGAAGTAATTTCACCCAACATCTCTGGTTTCCATCTTCTTCCCTAGGTAACTGAGAAAAGGGGAATGAGGACAGATGTCCTTCCCACAAAATCGCATCTTATCTTCCATCCCCCAGCCTGCTGGTTATTTGGAGGTAGAAGGGAGAGGAAACACAAACACGTTCTGCAAAGAAAGGCTGAGAGGACACAGCATCAGCCCCTAAATTTGCATAACCAGTACCCTGGATAGGACCATAAAAGGAGGATGTGGATGCCATTGAATCTCACACCAAACACCAATTATTTCTAGCAGAAAGAGCAAGCTCTCCACTCTCGTAATCTCTGTAAAAAAAATTTACCAGAACACATTCTTCAGATCCTAGGTGTATGTGCTAGGCTAAAGAGGATATCATATTGAGGAAGAATCTCCTGCTTCTCATTTCTTCCTGAGACCATCTCTCTGTGTACACAGCTTTCCAGGTAAGGACCCATCTCACAGGGTAGAACCGTCACAGTGTAGTGTGGGCATTTAGCCTCATATAAGACAGAAATCAGTGCTCCAGCTTTAAGCCCAAAATAAAAGGGAAAGTTGATTGTAGGAAGGAAAGACAGCAGAGCTGGCTCCTCCTTGGACAGAGCAGCCCTGCACAAATGAGGCATTTATTTTTATTGGGTCTCAAAGGAAAGACCCTGATTATTCAGGTGTTTTTTTAAAGGGCAGGCAAATGTCTTCAGACAGGGTGGAAGTTACTTACTAGCACAGTCTCTTCCAGTGCGCTCATAAATCCTGTTTCTTAGTTCAAGGAGTACAGCAGCTGGTCGCTTTGATTACATTTTGCTTTCTTTCCTCTCTTATCACCCAGAATTGCCTCTGCCCCCTGCTACCTTTCAAGTGTGGTTATCCCAAAGTCGCTAGCTCCCTGCCCAGGTACACACTCGCGCTCTGGAGTCAGACCGCTTCCATTCTGACACATCTCCATAGCTTTCTCTGCGGCCTATTTGCTGTCTGTCCCAAGCAAGTGACTTAACCTACTCCAAAGTCCTGTTTGCTGTCTGCTCTAGAGTCACTGCTTCAGGAACCTATAGGACTTTTCTCCCGCATGAAGGTAAGAAAAAAATAATCGTGTTCTTTTGAGTTTTTTGTGGGAAGTGCTCAAGGTGTTTTGCATTTTGCTTTTAACTGATGGTTACATTATATGAAGTGGGTTTTTTTCAGTCTGAGAAATATTTCTACCAGGGAATGTGTACCATGAAAAATATTCTTTTTAGGGTTAATCACAGTTTCCATTCTAAACACATAGGTACTATGGAGACAATTTGGAAATTGATGAGTACAAAAAAGGGAGCAGCATTGCCAAAGCCGAATTCTGGTCAAAATAACATTTCTTTAGCACCTGCTGCACAGAGATGCTGTGCAGATAATATTCTCTTAACCTTTAGGAAGCATTCTCAAAGAGGCAGCTCTCCCTTGGATAAATATTAACCAAGATGGAGAAGGACACTATTCAAGTCTGAAAGAAAATATAGAGAAAAATGGGGTAGAGAATAAGTCAGATTTACTGTTTATATTTTCTAAAAAGAAACTTATTTAAAAAGATTTTATCAATAATGCAGTGATAAAAGTTTGTAATATTTGCTTTTCCCTTCTAATCTTATCTTTCTACACCTTTACATATTCTCATACATATTGCATATTGAGTATGCATGAACAAAGGCCTTCATAATCTAGCCAAATACTATAGTGTTTGCTTTCTAGTTTTATGCTAACAATCTCTGTGCATATATGTGAAAGAACCATAGTTATTGCTAATAGTTCCTTATAGTATGACAGACTGTTAGATCATTTTCATGTAATCTATAGTGCTAGACCTAGAGATTTTTGTCATGTTTTTCCTATTTGTTAATGTTGCATAATTAACATAGTCTATAATAATTTTTTTCCTTTGATGTTTCCCCGTTGGCTAAATTTCTGGAATGGTTACACGGGGTCTGAGGTATTCTTTTGTAGACTTTGTCCATTTCAACTGCTGAAATGCCCTGTTTGTTGCTTTTTTTTTTTGGTACCAGTCCTTGCGCTTGCGCAGCAGGCAGCAAAACCACTGAGCTAAATCCCCAGCCCTGAAATGCCCTGTTTATCCAGCCTCTGCCAGTTGCCATCTGAGCTATTATTAATGCGACATCATGTCCTTCCTGTTTTGTTTTTTCCTCAGTGTGCATTTGCATGTGTGTAGGACTGTAGAGCTGCTTCTCATGGTGCTGTTTCAAGTCCTGAGACAACACCTGAGATCTGACACCGAACTTAATTTCCCTCTTCTGCTCCTCTCAAGTTCTTCAAAGATGTATTAAAAGATTCAGGTTTGGCCTCAAGGGATGTTAGGCTTCCAGGTTTTGAGACTCCCAAGGACATGGCACAATTACCTGGGGGAAGCATCTTTGTTGTCAACAACTGCTCTGATCCTCTACTAGAGTAGGACCCAGGATATTGTTATATGGTCGACAGTGCACAGGGTTTTCTCCCACAACCAAGAGTTATCTGAGCCAAAATATACATACAGCTGAATTTCAGGAATTCTGTTGGAAATTGATCAAGAACTAAAAAGAGAGGGCATTAACCACCATTACAAGAAATAGGGTAGCAGATGTACCACTGAGAACACAAAAAATAAAAAGCAAAAGAAGTTACCAATAACAGCTTTGTGCCTTAAACTGAACAACTTAGACAAAATGTGTAAATCCTTGTACAAAAACCAGTAACCAGAGGTGCTCGCTCTAAGATCTGAAAATGTATATGCTCACTAAAGGAAGTGGATCTTTATCTATAAATTTTTTTTTGGTACTGGGGCTCAAACTTGGGACCTTGTGCTTGAGAGGCAGGTGGCAGAACCACTGAGGTAAATCCCCTATAAGTATTTCAACAGTGAAATTTAATTACAACTAAAATATTTCCCTGGGGAAATTGTATAGAAAATTGTTGGAAAATACACAAAATTGTAGATATGCGAGGTAAATATGTGTACATATACAATATCAACACAGTAATATTATATACTTGAAATAATTGCTGATAGATATTAAATGCCCTTACCACAAAAATATGTGTAATGATAGGTTAATTGGCTTGACTATAGTAATGACTTTACTATGTATTTCAAAAAATCATGTTAAATACCTTAAATATATATGTATCAGAAAAATACTATATAAATGTTTACCCATTGGTAAAGCTGAATTACATAACAACAATATATAAGAGAAAAATGTTTATCAATCACAGATGACTTCAGTAGTAGAATCAACTAATATTTGTAGAAGCAAAGAAATTTTGAGCAAAGAAAAAGAGAAAGAAAGAAATGGTCCTGTTCCTCAAGAAAGTAAAGTCGAAGAAAACACTTTCTCAATTCATATTTTTTGGCCATATTACTATTATAATATAAAAACAAGATAAAGGAAAGAAAAATATGGACCAATCGCCCTTATAAAATAGATGCATATATAATAAACAATATTGTATTATATAGCATAACGTTATATATAGCACATTACTTAAAGTAATAGAATATTGATCCTATAATATATAAAGACATTAGTATCTAGTAATCTAACAGCAATTCATCATAGGAATACAAAGCTCATTTGACAGTGAAAAATCAAGACATATAACTCAACAAATCAACAAAAATAAGAAATATATAATCATCTCAACAGATGCATAAAAAGCATTTGATATATTTCAAAACCATTGTTCATTTAAAAATTCAGCGTTGTCAACAAGACAGCAAAACAGGATGCCTTCATCACTTGTGCCCCCAAAAGCACAAGCCTGGCAACGATCCATGGACTGAAGTGCACTTGGGGAGCTCTAAGATCAAAGGCCAAAGGCATGTTGGCAGTGCCCAAGCCTAAGGAAAGCTCCACTCAGAGGGCAGGTCAGCCCTGGGTGCACAGCCCTGAACACTGACCTAGCTCCAGACTCATAAACAGTCCCACGTTTCTGTGGACTTGGCTCTGACCACTTGCTGTGGTCCTGGAGGAAAGCCATGTATCCAGGGACCTGGCTGGAGTTTTGCCTGTCTACAGGTGCGGTGCAGGACTGACTATAGATCCAACTGTGGACAAGGAGATAATCTAATGATGAGTCCAAGCCTGCTCCACCACATTTCAGAGGCAGACCTGTCCATCTGGGGACCTGACAGGTGATGGCTATCCATCTGAGGAAACCAGCCTGCAAATACCAACAAAAGGACTGGTTTTTCAAATACAAGATTCCAGTGTGAGGCAGCTCTCCACTATTCACTAACAAAATAAAGAACCATGAACTGTTTGACAAAGAGTTCAAATTGATAATCTTAAAGAAGGGCAATGAACTACCAGGGAATACATATAAGCAAGTAAATAAAATCTTCATTGGACTGAATCATTTTGAAATCAAACGTAGAAGAATATCAAGAATAGCTGAGATAATTTAGAGCAATATAGTGGATTCCTAAGACTTCAGTTGCTTGGCAACAGAATACATGTGAGTTTGTTTTACACCACAGTAGGGCCTCAACACCCTACCCACAAAGTTTCCATTTCTTTTCTTACTTTCAGATCTTCAGTATGGTCAATTCAGACCTCAGATTTATACAAGCAAATCTTGGTGAGCACTTCCCTATGGAACAGTGAGGTGCTACTTTTCGGATTTGGCAAACCAATCCCTACATTGCACATGGACTACACAAATATGCCAGTGAGCCCCTCTCAGTCACTGTGACCTGGCACTCATGCCTGCTTGCTCTAAACCCAATTACAGCTCTGCACAGGAAAGCATTGGGGCAATACTCTGGACCTCAATAAAGTCTTTGGCCAATAAGTATTCATTCTCATTCTCTCTCTCTCTCTCTCTCTCTCTCTCTCTCTCTCTCTCTCTCTCTCCATCTGGCTATTGAGAATGCATTTCCAGATAGCTGCTTACTTCCTACTTCCTATTGGCTCTGCATACTGTGCTACCTTCTCTACTCTGGCATCTATTACAAATCAAGGCTTTCTGTTATTTTATATGTTCTGTTGTCTCCTCTATGCTTCATCTGACTGACACACATCACCTAACTTCTTTCCAGGCAGGACTCTCCCAGATGATGACTGTCTTAGTAGACATAAGCTGGGGACAGACCAGAGAAGCGCTTCACGAGTGTCTTCCCTATAACAAGGACACCTGGCCCTAGGGCAAACCCCTGAGCACTGGGCCACTCAACAGGATAAAGATTAACCCCATGAAAGCTGCATTGTAAATCTGCACAACTAACTCTCTGGAGTCCAGTCAAGGGCAGAGCTTGAACTTATAGCCATTTTCATGAATGATATGCCAAGACTAAACCAGTGAGCAACACGTGTAAGAACAGAGCTGTAGGAATCACAATCCCTGACTTCAAAATGTACTGCAGAGCTGCAGTAATCAAGTGTATCATACTGGGATAAAAACACACATATAGACTAAGGAATCAGAATAGAGACCCTGAAACCAGCTCATGCAAACAGTCAAGTGTCTTCACAAAGTGTGGTAGAACACACGTGTGGACATGATTCAGTAACCACCATTGCGAGGACCATGCCTATGTGGCTGAAGAGTGGGATCAAGTCCTGCCTGACATCGTATACAGAAAGCAACACAAAAGGAATTAAGATTAAACACTGACCGTGAAACGATCGAAGTTTTGGAAGAAAACAGGAAATGCTTCTAGGCATTAGACTAGAAAATGATATTTTTGGATATAATACTAAAACAAGCAATAAGAGCAAAACACAGGAAGTAATGTTTCTTCACAGCAAAGGAGACAACAAAATGAAGACATCTTATGGAATGGTTAAAAATATTTTCATACCATTTTATCTGATAAGAGTTTAATATGCAAAATTTATAAGACATTCTTTTAATTCAACAACAGAATGAATAACCCCCCAAAAAGAAAAGAGGACTTAAATTGCCATTTCTCCAAAGAAGACACACAAAAGGCCATCATGTACATGCAAAGGTATTCAGCATCACTAATCATCTGGGAAATACAATTCATAGTCACAGTAAGTCATTACTTACACATGCCAGGATGATGACTTAAAAAAAAAACACAGCAAGTGTTGGGGAGGACATGGAGAGAAGGAAACTTATCCTATTGGCAGGAATACAACTGGCATAGTCACTATGGAAAACACAACTGTCTCTGAATGAAAGATTAACAGTAAACATTTCACCAGGCTAGAAAAGAGCTTTCCCACCTTGAAAAATGTCATCTATAAAAAGTCTACAGCTACTGCAATGCTTAAGGGAGAAATAATGGTGTCTCCTAAGACCAAGAATGGCATAGTTGGGTGCATCTAGTTAACAAAAATGTGTTGCTTATGTTGTTTATTTCAAAGTAGCTAAAAGAGAGGGTTTTGCATGTGCTCATTACAGAGAAGTTATAATAGCTGAAGGTGACAGCCATGCTGATTTTCCCGATTTGATCATTACCTAATATACAGACAAATCAAAATATCATATTGTACCTCATACATATGCACAATAATTATTTCAATAAAAATTTAATTTAAATAAAGAAAAAGAGAGGATGTTATGTAACCCCTTTTCATATAATTTTTTTGGAAGTTACAGGCTACGTGCAATAAGCCAAGAAAAAGAAATAAAAGGCACAGAGGAGGAATGATTAAAACATTTTTATTGGAAAAAATGTTTGATCATATACACAGACATTTTTAAATCTTCAAATTAACAGTTATAGTAGCAGCTACTAGAACTAGTAAATAAATTTGTTAAGGTCACAATACATATCTCCAAAATAAAAAAAAATGGATAGTACTTCTATAGACAAACAACAATTTTTTAAATATTGTAATATGCTTTATTTATAACATCCAAAGAATGAAGTAAATAAGTATACATTTAACAAAATATATTCAACTCCAAGTGAAGAAGGCTAGAAGAAATAAAGATAGAAAGAAGACAAAGAAAATTATAATTTTAAAATCATATTTAAAACAACACTACACTTTACAGTTTTTTCTCCAGGCTAGTCATTATTAAATTCCTAAGTCTTAAAAAATATTCAGGGGCTGTGCATTTCTCCTTTCTCCTGTGCCTTCCATCTGTGCATGGGCCATGGTCTGTTACCTGTCAACTGAGTCCCTGTTTTCTATAAATTCACAAATTCCATAGATTTCTGTCCCCCAAACACATAAAATATACCCAACTCCAGGGTATAAGGTCTCCTGTCTGTCTGTCTCTCCCTCCCTCTCTCACTCCCTCCTTCCATATTCTATTCTCTCTAAAGGGTGTACTTCATTATTTCTATTAGACATTTTTATGCTTCTCACTGATATACCCTGGAAGTTCTCTTTGGATGGTGACAGTTGGGGAGCCTATAACTTATTACATGAGTTGGTGAGTTGAGGCCCCCATTTTCTCTTTGGGGACTCTCGTTGGCTCCATCTGGTAACCAGAAGCCAAAACCTAAAATACATTGGGAAAAGTATAAACACCCCAAAAACAAGGAGAGATATATCACATTTGTTGATTGAAATATTCAAAGTTGTTATGATATTACTTATTACCTAATTGAGCTATAGATTTGTGACAATCCTAACATTAATTCAAGAAGCTTTCTAGTAAATATTTACCTGCAAAGAGTCTTAACCAAATCATTCAAAATATTGATAGACTATCAGATTTCAAAATATACGGTAAAGCCATAGTAAACACAACAATGTGGTATTGAGAGTAGACACCTAGACCAACAGAATCAAACAAAAACTCAAGAAATAGACTCATAAGTATGCTCAGCTGATTTTAATAATTATCCAATACAATTTAACAGTAAAGGAAAGCTTTCTCAGTAACTGCTGATTAAATACGTGGATATCAATATTGGAAAAATGGAATAAACTTTTCATGGTGTGTAAAAAATTAACTTCAAATAGACATGAAATGCTTGTAAAAGAAAATGTAGGAGGAAATTTTTTTGACTATGGGATAAGCAGATAAACTATATAGAAGAAAAAAATCGTAAGTAATCAAAGAAAAATATTTAATTAGGATTTATAAAATTTGAAATCTTAAGACTTTTGTTCTTTGAATTTGTGTACAAGACAAAAACAGAAGAACCAGGTAATGAAAAAATATAAACCCCACTGGTATATTACTAGGTATTTATCCAAAATAAATGAAACACAGATACACACAAATCTTCTACTTGCCTTTCCAGTTTCTTTATTCTTTATAGTCAAAAAAATAGAAAACAAATATGCAACAAAAAGTGAATACTATATAAATCAGTAAACTATTATTTATACAACACACGCCATTCAGATGGAAGGCACTCAGACTGAATTCAGTGATAAAACTGCATATCCTGCTTTTAATACAGAATGCCCCATGGACCAATTTGCACTACTGCATAGTTAATAATAACAAAAGTCAGGCTGGGGATTTAGCTCAGTGGTTCCGCCGCCTGCCTCACAAGCCCAAGGTCCCCAGTTCGAGCCCTGGTACCAAAAAATAAAATAAAAAAACAATAATAAAACATCAAACAAATAACATTATAAATTATAATCTACAAACACATCTATGGATTTAATTATGTATAAACTTATCTAATCTTCAAAACAATTTTCTTGTCACAAGCTCCATGTTATGGCTTGTGTCTAGATGTCCCCATAAAGCTTCATGGAGTCATATATGGGGCTTTTTCAGAGGTGACTGAATCTAGAGTGTGTAATGAGTGATGGAATCGATTCATGGTGCAATGCTAGGATCGGGGAAACTAGGATTAAGGGTGTGAGTGCTGCCCGCCCTAAGTAGCCTGGATAAGACATAAGGGATAGAAAGAGCTGGGGGTCATCCTTTGTTGCTTTGCTACCTTCTGCCCACCATAAACTATTTCTCCTCTGTGATGCCATGCTGCCTTGAAGCCAGGCGATTATGGACTGAAACCTCTACAAACTGTGCGCTAAATAAACTTTTCCTCCTTTAACTTTGGGTGTTGCATATTTTGTCTCAGCAATGAGAAAAGTAACTACACACAGTCCATTTACATTGGTGTTTACTAATGAGGAAGCAGAAGTACATATAGAGAAGTGAAGTAAATTCTTCAAGCTTGCAATTTGTTAGTGGAGCTATAGGGATAGTTTTCACTGACATAAACTTACTTTCAAAAACATATTAGTCAAAATAAGTACGGCTTTAACAGATGTATTTCAAAATAGCCACAAAAAAAAAGTGAAGTGAAATTTTTCAGAAAGAGCTCTTAGCTTTTGGCCAATCTCATTTCATTTTTTCTTGGTGTTGCTGAGGACTTTGGGGTGACACTATCAAATCCCTAAGGAAAGCCTTTGACTTGGGCATCAGCCCAGAACCTGCTGTCTAGTTGTGCAGTGCCACCTAGAGGTGGGCCTCTCAGAACTTCTGTGGTGCCTCCCAGACACCTGCAAGGCTAGATTCCTTAAGTGTTCACCCTCTCCCACAGTAGATATTCTTAAAAGGCACAGATTGTCTCACCTGTCACTAAGATTTAGTCAAAATGAGGTGGATCTAATTTTACCTGTTTAAGATTGCCATGGTCTCAGAAACTGTGCATCTAAAATTTATGTCTCGAAAACAAATCTCACAACATGAGAATATCAGGAGTGTTGACATTTGAAAGGTGACTAGGTCATGAGGGTAAAGCCTTCAGGAATGCTATCAGATCCCTCACAAAAGAAACCTCAAAGACTTTAATGCCTTTTAGTATGTGAGGACATAGCTAGAAGGCATTGCCAAAGAACCAGGAAGCAGGACCTCATCAGACTCAGAAGATGCGAGCGCTAGGCTCCAGAACTGGGAGACATAACTTCTTAATGTTTTAAACCATCAACTTATGGTATTTTTATAGAAGTCCAGTGTCTTCTCATTCCTGACCTTTGTTGTCATCTCACTCTTTAGCCTAAGGTACCTACCAAGATGTTCCAAATGCAGGGTCCACAGATGCTGCAGAAGCTGGAGAAATCCTTAAGGAAGCACCTCCCTGAATCCTTAAAGGTGAGATTAAAACATCTTTAGGCAATCAAATTTTGCATCTTCTTTTGACAGAGATGAAATACTATGTTATTGGTTGATTACTTGATGACAGCCATTCTTTCTATAGTGGGATGAAATCTCAGTGTTGTTTTAATTTGCATCTTTTGAATGACCAGTGATGTTGAACATTTTTTCATGTATTTATTTGCCATTTCTACTTCTTCATCTGAGAACTGTTTATTCAGTTCAGATGCCCATTTTTGGATTGGGTCTTTCATTTGGGGGGTCTGATTTTTTTTTTAGTTCTTTATATAGTCTAGATACTAGTCCTTTGTCTGAGGAACAGCTAGCAAAACCTTTTTCCCACTCTGTGGGTTATCTCTTGTCTGTTGGTGGTTTCTCTTGCTGTGCAAAAGCATTTTAATAAGACGAGATCCCAGTAGTTGATTCTTTGTAATATTTCCCATGCAACTGGGGTTTTGTTCATAAGTCTTTGCCTACACCTATGTCTTCGAGAGTTTTACCTCTTCTCTCTTCCAGCAGATTTAGTTTTTGTTTTAACATTTAGATTTTTAATCCATTTTGGTTCCAGTTTAGTGCATAGTGAGAGATATGGGTCTAGTTTTAATCTTTGGCATGTGAAAAGCCAGTTTTCCCAGAACCATTTATTAAAAAGGCTTCTTTCTTCCAGGGAATTATGTTGGACCCATCTGTTGAAGATAAGGTGACAGACTGTGTTTGGAGTTGTTTCTGCATCTTCTGGTCTATTCCATTGATCCTTGGGTCTGTATTTTTTTCCAATACCATGCTGTTTTTATCACAGTAGTTTCATAGTATAATTTCAAGTCAGGGATTGTGATGCACCCTGGCTTTCATTTGTTGTCCAGAATTGCTTTTGTTATTCTAGGTCTCTTGTAGTTCCAAATGAATTTTGAGATTGTTTTCTCTAATTCTGAGGTATGCTATTGGTATTTTTATCAGGATTGCATTAAATCTGTGTAACAATTTTGGAAGTATGGGCATTTTCAGTATATTGATTCTTCCTACCCAAGAATAAGGGATATTTTTCTGTTTTCTGATATCCTCTTTGATCTTTTTTCAGAGTACTGTAGCTTCAGAGTACTGTAATGTAAAGGTCTTTTACTTCCTTCATTAGATTGATGATTCCTAAGTATTTCATTTTTTTGGATGCTATTGTGAAAGATGTGGTTTCTCTAATTTCTCTCTCAGTGAATTTGTTATTTGTGTACAGGAATGCTATTGATTTTTTAGTGTTGACTTTGTACCTAGCTACACTAATGAATTTGGTTATTAAATCTAGAAGTCTTTTGGTGGAGATTTTGGGGTCTTTTATGTAGAGTATCATGTCACCTGCAAATAATGATAGTTTAACATCTTCCTTTCCTATCTTTATTCCTTTTCTTTCTCTTATTTAATTGCTCTGACTAATGTTTCAGGAACTATATTGAATAAGAGTAGTGATAGTGGACATCCTTGTTTTGTTCCTGATTTTAAAGTGAGCTTTCAGTTTTTGATCAATTAGTATGATGTTGACTGTTGGTTTGTCATAGATGGCTTTTACCAGACTGAGATAAAAATCATCTAACTTTATGTAGGGTTTTATCATCAAATGCTCTTTCTGTATCTATTGGGATGATCATGTGTATTTGTTCTTGGCTCTGTTAGTATGGTATATTATACTTATTGATGTGCATATGTTGAACTATCCCTGCGTTCCTGGGATGAATCCTACTTGGTACTTCTTGATGATTTGCTGCATTCTGTTTGCCAGTATCTTATTGAGGATTTCTGCATCTATGTTCATTAGGGATACTGGCCTGTAGCTTTCTTTTTTGGTTGGATCCTTCTCTGATTTTAGTATCAGGGTAATGTTTGCTTCCAGGAATAAGTTTGGGAGTATGGCTACCCTTTCAATTTCATTAAAGAGTTGGAGGAGTAGTGGCATTACATCTCTAAATTTCTTGTAGAATTCAGCAGTGAAACCATCAGGACATAGGCTTTTCTTTGTTGGTAGGTTTTCAATTACAACTTCTATTTGTTTGATACTGGGTTATTTAGAATTTTTATATCTCGATTCAGCTTTGTTAATTCATATGTATCTAGAAATCTATTTCTTCTGTGTTACCCATCTTATTAGAATAAAGGTCCTCAAAGTAGGTATTGATGATCTTCTGGATTCTGGCAGGATCTTTTGTGATTTCACCCTTTTTATTCCTAATTGCATGAATTTGAGTCTTTTCTTTCCCTTTTTTTTGGATAAGGTTGGCTTAAGGGTTTGTCGATTTTATTTAATCTTTCAAAGAACCAACTTTTGAATTCATTGATTCCTTGCATTGTTTTCCTTAGTCTAAATTGCATTAATTTCTGCTCTGATCTTTATAATTTCCTGCCTCATACAAGATTTGGGGTTGACTTGCCCTCTTTTCCTAGAAGAAGATTCTAATGTTGAGGACCAACATTAGGTTGTTCATTTGAGCTCACTCTGTTTTTCTGATATGAGAATTCACTGCTATAAATTTCCCTCATAGGACTGCTTTCATTCATTCCATAAGTACCCGTATGTTGTATTGGCACTACCCTTTAACTGTAGAAAATAATTTATTGTCTAATTTCATCTGTGACTTATTGGTTGTTTAGGAGGGTGTTAATTTCCATACGTTTATGCAACTTCTGTGGTTTCTTTTGCTGTTGATTTCTAATTTCATTGCACTATGGTCTGATAATATGCATGGGATGATTTCAATTCTTTTGCATTTACTTGAGCATGTTTTATAAGCTACTGTGCAGTCTATTTTGGAGAATGTCCTGTGTGCAACTGACAAGAATGTGTATTCTGATGTTGTGGAATAAACACTCTGTAGACATCTACTAAGTCCATTTGTTCAAAAGACTGGTTTAGTTCTGATATTTCTTTACTGATTTTTTGTCTAGTTGATCTATTTGCAACAGTGGTGTATTAAGGTCCCCCATTACAACTGTTATTAGTCCTTATTTGATTTTTCATGTCCATTAATATTTGTTATATATAGTTGGGTGCACTGGTATTTGGTGCATATATATTTATGATTGCTATCTCTTCCTCTTGGATTTTTCCCTTGATAAGTACATGGTGACCTTCTTTGTCTTTCTTGATCAGTCTGGGCTTGAAATCTACTTTGTTTGCAAACAGAGTAGCTAAGCCTGTTTTTATCTGGGTTGCTGACACATGTAGTGTTGTTTTCTATCCTTTGACTTTCAGTCTATGAATTTCTTTTTGGGTTAGATATGTTTCTTGTATGCAGCATCTTGTTGGATCTTGTTTCATAATTGATTCTTCCAGTCTGTTTCTTTTGATTGGTGAATTGAGACCATTTACATTGATGATAATGACTTATAAGTACTGGCATCCTCTTCATGTTATTTTCCTGTTGCTGGTCCTCTTTGTTATCTCTCTATTCAATCTATTGCCTGGCTTGGTGGATTCAATCTGTAGTGTCCTTCAAAACATTTTGGAGTGCTGGCTTGGTGGTCATGAATTTCTTCAGGTGTTGTTTGTCACAGAAGTGTCTTGTTTCTCCATCAATTTTAAAAGATGGTTTTGTGGGATTCATCAACGTAAGTTGGAGGTTGTTTTCTTTTAGGGGTTGAAATACTTCAAGCTCTCCTTAAGAGCTTGTGTTGAGAAGTCTGCTGTGATTCTCATGGGGTTTTCTTTTTTTTTTTTCCTTTGGTACTGGGTATCAAACTCAGGACCTTGTGCTTGTGAGGCAGGCAGTTGAGCTAAATCCCCAGCCCTTGATGAGGTTTTCTTTATAGATGATTTGTTTATTTTTTCTAACAGCATTTACTATTCTGTTCTTGTGTTAAATTTCTGGAATCTTGGGTATTAAATGCCGTGTAGCTTTTTTTTTAAATCATGGCTAATTGGAGTTCTATATGCCTCATCATCTGTATGCCAAACTCTTCTTCCATGCTTGGGAAATTTTCTGCCATTACTTCTGTGAACAAGTTTTTAAATGTAATTTGAGCTATCTCCTGCTTTTTCATTGACTCCAATCAATTTTATGTTGTTCTTTGCATCATCTAGCAGCTGTTGGATATTTCATAGCCCCTTGCCATTTTTAAGAAATATTTCTTTTTATGATTGCTAATCACAAACCAATTTTCCAGATCTGATATTCTATCCTCACATTTGTTGATTCTGCTTCACATATTTTCAATAGAGATTTTAATCTCCTGGATAGAGTTTGAATCTGTTTCATGAATTTCATTTCCCCTCTATGTTGGGCATTTATGGTTTCCATCATTTTCCTAAGCACCTCTATCTTTTTAAATCTGTATCTACTCTAAAATCACTAATCGTGTTTTTCATTATGATCATCGCTGTAGTTATTTGAGAAATTATTTCTAATTTGATTTGTTCTAGAGCCTTATTCATCTGTTTTGTTACTTCCAGAGTTGCCACTTCAAAGAGTCCAGGTGGGTGCCTTTCAAAATGTTCTACTTCATTGCCTCTGGATTTGCCTTTGGGGAGCTGGGAGTCTGGGGTTGCATCTTGCTTCTGTGTCTTCTCATTTTCTATTTTTTAAATTTAATTTTTGTGTTGATGCTTGTAAATTGCTTATGGTAGGTAGCTTTATTGCTAGTATTGAGAACCCTTAGAAAAATGACTACTCAGAGATGTCTTCCACATGTAGCTGGCTTTTGGATTTTCAGTCTGTTGCAAGATTCTACCTCTTCAATTCATTGGGAATGAGAAGTTGCTTCCTATTTGGCCTAGCCCCTGATTCTCTGGCATTGGCATATAGTATTGTTTAGACTCTCAGGCAATCTCAGACCTGGCATATAAAGAAGAACTGATTAGAACAACTATGTTACCTTGGCTAAAGTAGTATAATTGGTAATAACAATAGCATCAAGCATAGCTTAGAAAATGATAAACTGTGGTAACTCTTAATCTGTCACCTGTAACCATATGAACAAGATTTATAGTTATAGAACAAAACTTAAAACAAACCAGA